AGTATTTAGGCTAACAAAGAATCTCAGGCTTAGGCCATTGCAATCAGATACTGAAGTTCAAAAGATTGAAAAATTTGTAAAGTGGATTGCTAATATAGGTGATGGAACAATTGATGATTTTTTGCATGGAAAATGTGAGTTAGTAATCCTAAGGGACTAAAAGCCAGGGTCAGACACTATCCAACGTGGGTTTGCTTTTGAAGAAGTCGATTTTTAATCATGGTAAAATGTATGTAGTAGTGTCAAGAGTTAGTAATCCTAAGGGATTAAAAATTCTTATTTGTGATGAAAATGTACAATCTCAAAATACGACTACAAATGTCATATATAAAGAAGTATTCAATGATGTCTAATAAATTTCAAATAGTTGACTATCCAATTCTTTTTTGATATTACACTATATATTATAATATTTATACATATTACCGTGCACCGCACAGGTGCAACTACTAGTTATACTTAAAAGTGCAATTGAATGACTGATTAAAAAAAAGAGTTACAATTGATCCTTCAAATTAGATAGCATAAAATTGTATAATCAAACCAATTAGTCGATCATCTCCTAGTAACACATTGAGTAGGTAAGTAGTTTATGGATGATGCGTTGTCCTATATGTAGGATTGTTCTTGTACTCTTGATAATGTAGTTTCCTCATTTGCAATAGCAGCACCTCCATTATGAACAAACTTCTTTCTTTGAGACTAGTACTTATTGCATTACTACTTCACCATTAAATCACTACTCCTTACTCATTTGTCCATTGACCACTAGAGACAACACCATTTTCATCTATGTGTACATTTTATTTATTTATTTATTTATTTGTTAGATTGAGACCAAGTTTGAGATAGTTTTTTGAGCTCAAATTTGTGATTTTTTTTTTTATTATAACTAGTATTTGTCCCGTGCAATGCACGAGAAATATGTTATAAAAATATACCTTATATGAGGTTTATTCATATATAAAAATTTTATTATTTAATAATTATGTGTGAATTGCTATGATAAAATTATGAACATATATAAATATATTTACAATTAAAATAAGAATTGATATTTAAGGTGGGTGATTACTACAAATCTTAAACTATATTAAAAATTTAGTACATAGTATTTAATATTACAAATTTTTAAGAATTTAGTAAACTACAATAGTACTCTAGAAATCTCAAAGGTCTAAAAATTTTGATCCGCGGTGACTCTGAAAATTGTAATTCAATTACTATTGTAGTTTACTAAGTTCTTAAAATTTTGTAATATTAAATACTATGTACTAAATTTATAAGATTGATCATATTAGAATAATCTCAAGATTGACCACATTAGAATAATCTCAAATGAAGTTTATTTGTGAGTTTTTGAATGGATTGGATGAAGCAAGAGAGATGAAAATGAAAAAAGGTTAATTTGAATTTTTATGCACCATGTAATAAGTAAATAAATAAATCTTAACTATTATATAACCATATATGATTTCTTAACTATAATATAATCATGTGGTTTGGTGAGTAATTATTGTTACAATAATTGCTCACCAAACCATATAGCTATATTATAGTTAAGATCTCAATCAGATTTGAGACGAGCTTGAGACATAGAACTTTTGCTAAGTTAATGGTGATGCTTAGATTTTAGAGAGATTAGTCCCTGGCAACAATAGATTTAGGTGACAAGCTGACAGCACGGTTGCAAGGAGTGATAGCGAATAGGTTGATTCGTTGTTTCCTTTGTCCTTACGGACTTAGTTCAATAGTTCAATATGCAGTATTTGAGAAAAGAGACTAAGGTTTGAACTTCGGTGGTTTGGTAGCTTAGTCGCCTAGTCAGCTGATTAGCTATTGTTCATTTTTTTTAAATAGGTTATTTCACTCAAAACGACATGTTTTTGAACAAAATAACCCTAAAGTGTTCAAACTCTAGATGTTTTTTAGGTTAATATTTAATATTTTAGTATTAAGTATTGAAGTATTAAAAACTTTATAATTATAGTCTTAAAAAATTTAAAAAATTTAAACATATTTTTAAAAAATAAAAAATACACGGGAGCTTAGGCGTCGACTAATCCCCGCCTAGGCGCCCTAGGCGCTAAGTGCTCCTCGAGTGCTTGGGGAGCGCCTAGCGATTTTTTCAACCATGGTCCAAAGTATTCAATGTAGATCCTTTGTGCGACATTTGGCCCTGTTATATCCTCCCAATATGTCCAAAGTATTCAAAGTAGATCCTTTGTGCGCATTGACATTTGACCCTGTTATATCTTCCTGAATTCTCTATTAGGACGAGATTAGAGATTCAACATTTTAGGAGAAGTAGGTTGGTTGTTGCCTAGGAAAAATAGTCCATACATAGTAATATTTGGCACACTAACTAAATTGACAAGCACTCAACAACCTTTGCAACAACGAAAGGACAGAGGGAAATTAAGAAAGATAATTAATAATTAATCTGATAAAAATTAAAAGGGAAATGAAATTACCACGTTAATCTTGTTATTAACAGCCCACAAACAGAATTCTTAACAGAGGACTAAAGTGTGTGAAATTATTAAAGTTGAGGACTAAATAGAGTACAAAATGTCACTTAAGACTAAATTAAATAAAACCACTATAGTCCATGACTATATTAGGTATTAACGGCAAATTATGTTGTGCATCCGTATGCACCATGCATGGTGCATACGGATGCAAAAACGACGTCGTTTTAATAAAACGCGCGTCTCCCCTTAAAAAAAAAAAAAAATCAGGTTCGATTCCCAGCAACAACATATGAACTAAAATTCCATAATCGATGAACTATAATTCCATAATCTATGAACTATAATTCCATAATCTAATCTATGAACTAAAAATTCCAGAATGAATGAACTAAAATTCCATAATCTATAAACTAAAATTTCAGAATCGATGAACTACAATTCCATAATCGATGAACTATAATTCCATAATCAATGAACTATAATTCCATAATCTATGAACTAAAATTCCAGAATGAATGAACAATATAATGTTTTTGCTGGGAATCGAACCTGAATTTTTTTTAAAAGGAAGACGCGAGTTTTTTTAATAAAACAACGTCGTTTTGGCATCCGTATGCACCATGCATGGTGCATACGGATGCACAGCATAACGATTGAGTATTAACTTTTTAATAGCCTAATTGACAATTGTATTTTTGCATCGATCTCATTTTTTCAATAAAAATAATATATACGGAGTATTTTAAATGGAATAATAATTATTTATAAAGAAATACTATTATTTCTTTATAATTATAACTAGTATGTCATTAGTAACATGTATATTCAATAATTATATTCAGGGACGGAGCCAGAAATTCGGTTGAAGGGGGGCGAAAAAGTACAGATGGATTCAGAAAATTTTTCGAGTAAAGGCGAAACATTAAAATATTGTTGGATATGGACGAAAAATAAAGCACATAAAAACTTTATAAAAATAATCATAACAAAATATGAAACATAATTAATTTGAATAGAAAACACATTATAAATTATACATCTCATTATTTACCTAAGAAATATAGTCGTAAATATTGTTGGATATGAACGAAAAATAAAACACATCAAAACTTTATAAAAATATTCATAACATAATATGAAACATAATTAATTTGAATAGAAAACACATTATAAATTATACATCTCATTATTAATATAAAAGAATGTTCTATATATATGTGTGTGTATATGAAATACACAAAAAACTATTCAAAACTAATTGTTCATACAACATTTGAACCCTTAACCTTCCCTATTTTCAAACATATGCTCTACCAACTACTCTAACTTACTTACTATTAATATTTTTTATACTAATACTAAAACATGTACTATATATACATATATACATACAATTATACAAAGACTATATATGGGGTGGGGGTAGGGAGAGGGGGGCAGCTGCCCCCTTGCCCTCCCTCTTGCTCCGTCCCTAAAATTATTTATAAAATTTATATAGTGCAAAATAAATAAATAAATTATCAAAATATGAATTATGATATGATATTCTAACAATGTTTTATTATAATAAAGTATGCATGATACCTTGTATCAAATTTTGTTTTATAATGAATTAATTTTGGGTTTAAAACAAAAAAGATTATAGACTCATCGACTCAAAAAATATCACGGTAGTTATACAATAGACTTAGGTTCACATTGCAAGGTGGACTCGGGTCCAAAATACACAATTTACATAATGAATGTTCATAAGTTACATATTGAATGTTCACAATTTGAATTGTGAACATTCAGTATGTAAATTATGAACATTTAGTATGTAAAATTGTGAATATTCAGTATGTAAATTGTGTACCTTGCAAGGCGGACCCGGGTTCACAGAATAATTTGTCGAAATCTGTAGACACATAATAGGTTAATTGCAAATATATAATCTGAATGTTATTTTGGATCTAAGTTCACAATGCAACGTGAAACCTGGTGCACGATAGATTAAGATTCTTCTTATTTCTTGTTAGCTTCCAAAAAATCATTTCTAAGCATTAGTGAATTGCCCTAATGTTTGAAGTTTTTTTGTTTAAAAGCATAAAGATTCTTATGCTTCTAAATCCACCCAAATCAAGTTCCTTGGATACAGATAATTTAAGTTATGGGGATTAACAAGCTTAAAAAAAAATTAAAAACAATTATTCAACTAAAAAAAAATCTTATTTATCAATCTTGTTAGGAATTAATAAGTTTACCTCTTTACCTCGTAAATAGTAGTATAGCACAATAAATGTTGGGAAAACTTTCAATTAACACTTGATGGAAGTTAAATTTGAAAAAAATAATAATTTTGGTTTCCTATAATTTTCACTTTTCAGTCTCTGTTCCTAATTACTCCACAAGAACAAGATTTATGTAAGAGGAGTGAGATGCATTAAAGTACCGTGTTTAGGCGATGAGGATGGTGGCTTTGATGACAGAATGGTGTATGTTTTTAGCCTCGCTGCAATACTTAATGAATAATAAATAAATAAGCAGCCAAAATCAACAAATCAGAGTGGCGCAGCGGAAGCGTGGTGGGCCCATAACCCACAGGTCCCAGGATCGAAACCTGGCTCTGATAAGAGTGGCTTCCAGATTTACTTTGCTTCCCATGACAACAACTAAAATAGATAATATAGTTATTGGGGAGAAGTCGTCAATGTTGGGGATGTAGCTCAAATGGTAGAGCGCTCGCTTTGCATGCGAGAGGCACGGGGTTCGATCCCCCGCATCTCCAAACTTGTGTTGTTGACGTTGTGATCTGATTTCTGTTGACTTTTGAGATGTATTTACTTTATTGTCAAGATTAAAGATTTTCTGTTGATCTTCTCAGGATTGCATAATATTTATTAAGAATTTTTATACAGTATAACATTTATTTTCCTTTAAAAAATAAATGATTTAGTTATTCTAAAAAAGTATTTACGATATTTTATATTTTATTTAAAAAAATGAGTTTTCTTTTGTGCATTTAGTTTATACTTCATTAGTTTTAATTTATTTATAAGATAGAAATAGTAAGTATTTACAATGACAACCCAAAAAGTATATGTGAGTTAAGTTTTCAAAATTTACACTTATCATGTGTGTGGGAGGGAGGCAAAGAAGAATTTTGATTACAAATGGGAATCTAACGGTTGATATAGTAATCTTTGACCATATATGCTCATCTTAACTTTGAGAATTTTGTCAAATTAGAGTTTAAATATTACTCATACAAAATTTAAATTTATATCTTTTTTTTTAATTTATTAATATAATTATCTTAGTTAGTATTCATATTGTTTGAATCTACAATTTTAATAAGATCCAATAATGTTAAGCCCTTAACTGGAACAAAAAAAAAATGTCAATTGTATTATTTGATAAAATGAATGGTTTATATTATTTTGATTTTAGTATTTTTTTAATAATTTTTTATATAGTGATGTGATTTGATTCATATTTAGGGTTTTAATACAATTCATTTAAAATCTAACTTGACCCAATATTTTAATAAATTGGAATTCAAGCCCTGCATCTCCAAAATCGTTTATATTGTGACTTGATTTTTGGTTAATGTACTATACATATTTAGGGTTTTACTAAAATTCATCTAAAATCTAATTTGACCCATTATTTTAATAAATTTATATTCTTATTAGTAGTTTATATGCGCAATGTACAAAATTATATGTCAAATATTAATATGCAATATTAAAATATTTTTTAAACTAATAGTATATAATTTTTTTTTTTTAAAAAAAATCATAATTGTAAAATTTATATTATATAAGTATAATTAATAATTATTAAAGTAAGAATTCTAGATAAGATAAATTACTAAATATGATTATGGTAACATTTAATTAAAATCTAAACACAATCAAACTTATTTCTTATAAACTCCAATATATAATGTATACATATATTATTACTATTGAATAATATAAGAAAAAAATATTGTGTATACATGTGCATGGTAATAATAATAAAAAAAATATAACATAAGTTATAACAATATGAATATTTTTGTCCAAAATTTTGTATAGTACAACTCTTATAGCATAATTTGTAAAAAAAAAAAAGATATAAATCAAATATATAACTTAGATTGAAACTTATATATATATATATATATATATATATATATATATATATATATATATATATATATATATATATATATATATCAAATGAGAACTAGTCTAAGTGAGAACTGTGGACTAATCTTGTGTGTTCATTTTTATTTAGATGTCTTAGATTTTATTTCATAAGATCACAATGATTGATCTTTGTTTTTAAAAGGGGTACCAGTGTCTCTTTGTTTTTTGTTATTTTTTTGTTATTTTTCAATTTTTCTTAATTTTGTTTCGTATTTTTGTGGGGCATCCCTGTTGCGAATTGGAGCCGCAATTTCTTCATCATTGATCGAGTCTTCGTCTATAAAAAGTTGTTAATATTTTTTATTTTTGTTCGCTCGTTTTTTAGTATATTATTGTCTATATTTGGATATTATTGTATATATACGCATTCTACTATAGTTGTAGAGCAACAAAATAATAATAATAATAATAATAATAATAATAATAATAATAATAATAATAATAATAATAATAATAATAATAATAATAATAATAATAAGTCTCTTCTTTGTCATCTCCTAAAATAGAGTTTCAGTAGAAAAAGTCATGGAAATAATCAAAAGTGTCCAAAATATAATAGTTTCGGTTGTTAAATGGCAAATATTACTCTCTGGGTCGAAATTTAGAAATGTTGCCAAAGATAAAAGACCTCCGCTAGAATTAGCTCATTGGGAAAATTAAAAAAAAAAAATTGAATTAATGAAATTACCATTGCCTAAAATAGTGAGGATTTCACTAGAAAAGTCATCGAAAGGACCAAAAGTATCCAAAATATGATAGTTTGAGATGTTAAATAACAAAAATGATAGTTTGATAGTAAATTTAGAATTACAACAAAAAACAAGGGAGCACCGTTAAAATTAACTCTGTTATATACTAGCCTAGCCTTTTAAACCAAATTGAACAGTAGTGATGAATATATTATAATCGGAGCAAATTGACCCGACAAGAAGGAGTAAGAAGGTGTAGAGCGGATCCGGGGCCCCAAGGTTGAGCCCCGTGCTCAACCTGGCCACGACCAGTTAAGCTTGGAACCCAGTCCCGAGTCCGAGTGTGGGGGCTCTTAGGATTGAGAATTCAACCTTTTGGGAGAAAGATTATTTGGCTGGCGAAACTAGAATCATCTAAGTTTAAAAAAAAATTTATAACAATAATAATAAAGCTATAGGTTTACCCAATGATATTGGTGCAATTTCCATCCGGGAGTTACCTTTTAAATATAAAAATATAAAATTAAGTATTAAAATCAAAGAGTTTTTTCTCAAAATGGTTCCTCGACTATCTCTCATTCTCAATTTTACATTTCAACTTTCCGTTGCACCCAATGTGGTCCCTTGACTTTTAAAAAGTACCACAAATTGGTCCTCCGTTACCTTTTACGTTAACTGGGCGTTAATATTGGGAGTATTTCCGTCAATTCACATCTTTCGCGCCTATTACTATTTAAAACAGATATCAAATTCTTAAAATCTAAGTGTAAATGCTTCAATACAAGCTTCCAATTAAAATGTTTAGCTAGGAACATAAATCTAAGCCTAATCTAATTCAAAAATATGAAAAGAAATGATAGAAAATAATTAGGGCTCAACCATGAGTCAAAATTGACTAGAAATAAGTGAAAACGAACTTAAATACAAACAGATCGAGCAGGGTGGCATGGTCAAAAGCACGGTCGTGCCAAAATCAGCCCAAAATGGGGTGCTCACTGCCTTGATTATTGGCATGGCCTATGGCAAAATCGTGCACTTACACGTGTATTTTCACATTCAAAACATTATAATTGGGCTTGATGATCTCCATGAAAGCTGTAGCCAATTGAGTTGTCTTTTCAATGGCCCAAAAATCACTTTATTTGGGCATTTTTACATTGAGATATGGTCAAAATAATAAGACGTCGACATGTTGAGTGGAAAATGCAACTTCATGTCATTTTGCTTCACTTTTGTCCTGATTTGTCCAAATGACCATAATCATTTGCATATTTCCTCGCATGTGTAGGAATGTGAAAAATATACTTCCCAATGCAATAATGGGTGATGCATAGATAGAATCAATGTGAAAAATCAAGTTTGACGGTGAAGGATATACCCACGTATTATTTATCCTGTGACCCTTCATAAATTAGGTACTCATAGTTGTGACCACCTTAAACAAGCCCCACTAACCACTAGTCACAATGTTACACATTTTTTTTTCTTGTGCGACTAGAAATTCATAATTTCTACATAATAAATAAATCTAATGAGTTTATATAATTGATTTTATTGTCTATAATTTAACACTCAAGAATCAATTGAGCTAGTACGGTTGGATTGATTTCCTAGTACTCTTGTTCATGAGTTTAGTTTAACATATAACAGAATTAGAAAGAGGTGGCAGCTAAAGCCTTTATTTAACAAAAATTTCAAGAAATTTTTTTTCAAGAAAATACTGAAGCTCAAGCGGCTTTGCATGGCGGCAACGGAGCACCACAGAGGCAAGCATTTCCGGCGAACGCACTGGCCGAGAAATTCGTCCGCGGAAGCTTACCACACAGCCGATTATGGCTGAGATTCACCTTCTGAAGCTTGCCAATGGCCTTAGGAACTTTTCCAAACACCATGTTCCTAGAAAGGTCCAACTCATTCAATTCCGGCACATTAATCCTCAATTTCTCCAAATCGAACTTCAACTTATTCCCAGACGCATAAAACCCCCGCAAATTATCCGTCCTGTTCAGCAACCCCACCGGACTCCCTGTTATATCATTCTCAGACAGATCGATATAATTGAAGAACAAATACTCATGCGGCTTCCAATCATCAAGGTTAATCTTGAGCCCGCATTTTACTAGCCTTAAGGTAAACATATTTGGAGACGAGGTAACAAATCTCGGAATATCCTTAAGGTGGAAGTTGTTGTACGACAAGTCCAGTGTCTGGGCGTGTCCCACGTTCATTTCTGGAAACGGGTCCTCCAGGGAGTTGTGAGAAAGGTCGAGTTCATCCAGTGTCGTCAAATTCAAGAAAGATTTCGGCACGACGCCGGAGAAACGATTCCAGGAAAGATCTAGGGTTTCTATTGCCTGAAAAGTTCCAAGAAAATCTGGGATTTTCCCTCTTAAGTTGTTGTGCCCGAGCTCCAGAAACTGTAGCTGGGGTGACAGACGCGAAATGCTGCTTGGGATTTTGCCGGAGAATCTGTTGTACGACAGTTCGAGTCTTATGAGCTCCGGGAAAGAGTCGAAGAAGTCCGGCAAGTTGCCGGAGAGTCTGTTCTTTTCCAGGCTCAAATATGTGAGTTTCTTGAGCTGTCGGATACTGTCCGGAATGGTGCCGGTGAGGAGGTTGCCACCAAATTTAAGCTCAGTCAACTGAGTCAACTTGCCCACTGAACTCGGTATTGGACCGGTGAACCGGTTCCCCTCAAAACTTAGTGAAAGTACTTGGGTTAGTTTTCCAATGGTTTCGGGTATTCTACCTGATAACTTGTTGTCCACTATAAATATAGTTTTGATTCTTGGAAGCTCGAAAAGAAAATTTGGAAAAGGACCTGTTAACCCTTTTAAATATTGAAGTAAAATGCTATCTAAGTACTTGAGTTTGGCAAGTGATGGAGAGATAGTACCTTTAAAGGTTCTATTGAACTCTTCTTGTCCATAAAAGCCCAAAAAAGTAACCCTGTTTTTCGTTCCACATTGTACACCTGACCATTCACAACAATTGGTTGCGGGTACCCACGAAGAAAGAAACCCAGACGGATCACTAGTTATACCCGACTTGAACCCGAGCAGCCCGGCTTCATCATCGGGGTGGCACGATGCTGCCATGGCTGCAAGGCAGAGAGAGGAGAGGACAGTAAGAGAGAGCAGAAGAGCAGTGGGAGGATGCATTGTTAAGGTGTTATGGGATGTAATAAGGAATTGCTTAAGCTTTGGTTATTATTTTATAGGCAAAAAAAAAAAAGGGCAAATGGGAGGGTCGAGTGAGCTGTTTTTGGTGGTAGACAGCAAGATGTGATATTGGATGAAGTGGAAATAAGGCTGCAGAAGATCAGATATAGCTAAACTTGTTATCTTTTGACTAGAACTAGAAGCCGTGCACAATTGACTGCTCTACTAGCTACTATACGCGTCTATATATGATTTTGACTATTTGAATCTATAATGCAAACTTCAAGCTTAGATATTATATTCTTCAATTATTAGACTTCCTATAGCTATCTATCATTGTAAATATCCTTCAATAATTAAGAGTTTCTATAGTTATCATTGTAAATTTGATAAATATAATTTAATATCTAAACAGTACGGACATTACGATTTTGATATTTCATCATTTTTGTTATAAAGTTTAATCAGGCATACGGTTAAGATTTTACTATAATTTATGGCACATGATTTCTTTTTTATTTTTTGATAGGATTGAAATGGTGAGGATTTGAGACAAGTAAATAATCAATGACATAACTAAATTGTTAAATTGTAAGATACCCTACAACGATATAGTATAATAACATTTTTTATACAATAATAGGTAATAAAATTTTAAGCAAATTCTTCATATCCACGTGCTTATGATTATAATTTTTTTTAAAAGCCAACTAAGTTGCTGAATTATACTTGATGGGGTGAGGACCCTGGCTCAAGAAGGCGAGCCCCAGAGAAGAGGCCCAGAATGGAGAAGAGTCCAGAACGGGTAGGTAGCGGCCCAGAAAGTGAGAATATGGGTCAGTAATAAGGCCCAACAGAAGCCTGGGCCGAGTCCAAGAGTCGGCCCAAGCCCAGGCTGAAGAGAAGACTCGGCTTAGAGCCGTTGAGAAGCATTCATCGCAGCTAGCATTCAAGGGGCTCGACCAAGCGAACCGTTAGGGAAGCCCAAGGAGCCGTTGGCCGGCCCGGTAACGGCACCCAACGGCCCTAAGGTGTAATTAGCCTTGAAAGCAGTCTTTAATGTACATTAACTCGGCGGAAGGAGGGCCTACTATATAAAGGCCCCTCCACCCTTGTAAACGGGGCGAGTCCATGCCTAGAGAATAAAGAAACACGTTCACTACCACTGCTTACTTCATTCTATTTTTAGTAGCTTTATTGAAAGGTGTATCCACCAACCAAGGTTGTGTTGGACCTCCCTGAGCCCAAAAACCCTAAAACCAACAATACTTAAAAGTGAAATTGAATTACTGAATTAAAAATAAAAGTTACAATTGATCTTTCAAATAGGGTAAAATTGTATAATCAAACCAATTAGTCCATCATCTCCTAGTAACCCATTGAATAGGTAGTTTAATTTATGGATGATGTGTTGTCCTATGTATATGTAGGGTTGTTGTAGCACTCTTGATAATGTAGTTTCCTCATTTGCAATAGCAGCACCTCCATACTCATTTGTCCATTGACCACTACACACAACACCATTTTCATCTATGTGTACATTTTATTTATTTCTTTGTTAGATTGAGACCAAGTTTGAGATAGTTTTTTGAGCTCAAATTTGTGTTTTTTTATTTTATTTATTAATCTTAATCATATTTGAGACGACTATGAGACATAAAACTTTTGCTAAGTTAATGGTGATGCTTAGATTTAGAGAGATTAGTCCCTGACAACAATAGGTTTAGGTGACAACACGGTTGCTTTAAATTCTTCTTGTTTCTTGTTAGCTTCCAAAAAATCATTTCTTAACATTAGTTAATCGCCCTAACGTTTGAAGCATTTTTATTAAAAATCATAAAGATTCTTATGCTTCTAAACCCACCCAAATCAAGTTCTTTGGATACAGATAATTTAAGATATGGGGATTAACAAGCTTCAAAAAAAAAAATTAAAAACAATTATTCAACTCAAAAAAAATTCTTATTTACCAATTTTGTTAGAATTCAATAAGTTTATATCTTTACCTCGTAAATAGTACAATAAATGTTGGGAGAACTTTCAATTAAAACTCGATGAAAGTTAATTTTAAAAAAAATAAAAGTAAAATTGGTTTCCTATGGTTTTCACCTTTTCAATCTATATGTTCCTAATTATTTAACAAGAATAAGATTTATGTAAGACGAGTGAGATGCACTAAAGTAGCGTTGTTGTGTTTTGGCGATAAGGATGATGGGATTGGTGGCTTTGATGAATGATGAGGGAATGGTGTATGCTTTTAGCCTCGCTGAAAAATTAAATGATAAATACATTAATAAGTAACCAATATCAACAAATCAGAGTGGCGCAGCGGAAGCGTGGTGGGCCCATAACCCACAGGTCCCAGGATCGAAACCTGGCTCTGATAGAGTAGCTTCCAAAATTCTTTTGCTTCCCATGACAATAAGTGAAACATATA